TGTCTCTCTCTCTCTCTCTCTCTCTCTCTCTCTCTCTCTCTCTCTCTCTCTCTCTCTCTCTCTCTCTTAAATCGTTATCGTTCCATTATTTGATGTCTGCACGCCACACTAAAGAGTGATCTAATGATTCAATTGGCTCACGCACGCTGGCTTCGCTGTGAACCACCGAGTTGGACAAGAGAGCGAGCGCCTCTTTTCTTTTCTTTTCTTTTTTTATTGTTTCCTTTATTTTTGCTCCTCGTGCCTTTTCTACCCCATTCCCGCCCCTCACTATCCGCATCAGACAGTTGCTGAAAGCTGTGTAGACTAGGCTATGATTTAGGGAGCACACGTCTGGACTGTTCTTTTGTGGTCAATATTTATGAGTTTTTCTACCCCTTCCCCTTCCGGTTCCGTTAGCTAGCTAGGTGCCAGGGTCAGGCGAGTGTTTTCGCTCCTGTTTTAGTTTTTTTTTAAGTGAGCGTTTTATGGCACTTGCAACACAATAAGGTCAAGTTAGTGCCAAAGGTTAGACGAGGTGCTACAAGAGAGTAACAAACTCAAAAAAGAAGTAGAGATACGGACGATAGATATTTGATAGGAAAGAAGGGGAAAACTATACCAGAGCACCCGAAAACCACTCACATTTTTTTCGCTCCAGCCCGCAACGCAAGTTTCCATAAAGCTCGTAATATATTGTGTTTCATACTTTAAGGCCATCCATATAAAAAATAAAACTGCTTTTTGTTGATAACTTTAGATAGAAATCAACACTTTATTTGAATTTGTGACACTTAACGCGTACTATGTTGTCTTTAAAAGTCAGGGGAAATACTTTGCATTCCACCATAAATATGTTTTGATTTGTTATTGTGTTTGTTGATAACTGTGAACTTTAAAGCTGAATTACAGCATTCATTTCCCATGAGTCAGACATGAAAAAACAGATAAACGGTGGAAATAAAACAAAGCAAAACAATTTATTGTGAGCGACAGTCTTGAACGAGAATGCCAGACTCATTAAAAAAATGAGTCACGCATACGTGGTGGAACCAGGCGCTTTACAAATGCTGGACATAATATGGAGTTTTCGAAATGATCTTAAAGCTTGTTCATTTGTCTTGGTTTTGATGAAAAAAAAACCCATGTGTCTTGAATAGATGTCGAGATATTTGCGATTGAAGGAGGTGGAGGTCGTTTGGTGTCAGAGGTGAAAGTTGTTTGATGTCTCCATAAAATTTGGCGACTACCAAAGCTTGAGAGTCCTTGGAAACTGCAAATATACATTTATTTGTGAGTTCGATTTTTTTTTCAGTAATAATCCATAGCTGCATGGTTTTTAAGTGGTATTGAAGGTGTTGAACAAAAAAAAGGGTTGGGGGGGGGGGGAATTCCGTGAAGGCTTCACAATAAGCAGAAAAATTCCGGTTTCTTTGATTTCATTTTTTGACAAGCGCAGGACTTCACCATGTTGGCACACAACTGCAGGTACTTTTATGCCCTCATCAAAACAATAAAAATCATTCTGAGGCAGGCTTCGACCCAGTAGAATGACATCCTAGAGATCCGGGATAATAATCATCCCCAATGGGGAATCGAACGCAGGTCTTGTGTGTATGGCGGTGAAGTGCTTAGCCTCTACACCACAGACGCCACTAGTCAGACTCAGACCATGTGACAATGTTAAGGAATCATTAATTATTAGCTTACTGGATGTTAAAAAGTGAGACTACTTAATATATTAGAGTGAACTCATTCTATGTCGCAGGAGAAATATCTCAAGTACCTTTTGATCTATCTACAAATGCAAAGAAAAGTATTATATCAAAAGACATAATACAGAATCTATCTTAGTTTCAAAATCTCAAAGTCCAACTCTTGTGGAATCAACAGTTTTTATCAAAGAGTCTGTTGCATTTTAATGGACAGCAGACAGATCACGCTTTGCTGTTTAATCAGACGCCAGTGCATGTTTTCCAATCCTGTCTTATCTGGATTCGAGCACACCATTAACTCCCTTGGGAGCAATTTGGGCTAAATGCTGATGGCACTGGTTCAAATTCGAGATCAGGCGTTCTTTAACTTGTGTTTTCGGAAAGTTTTCAAGGGTTAAAAAATGTATGCCCACGTGGCTCAATCCGTTTAGGGATTAACATTATATTCAGAAGCCCTGCCTCTTAAGCAACGTTAGGGTATAGGGTGTTGAAAGGGGTGTTGGCCCAGAAATTTCCCAAAGTGCCGAATTCACTTTTAGTTTTATTGTTAAAGTTTGTTTGTCTGTGCTGATCTTCTATTTGGTGACTTCGAGCTGCCAACGTGTATTTAGCCTGTAGCTACATACTCCGAGGTTTTGGGGTTTTTATCTTTTTATTTCGTTTTTATGTAGTGGTTGCTGTTGCTGCCGTTATTGTTTTAGTAGCTGTTGTTGTTGTTGTTGTTGTTGTTGTTGTTGTTGTTGTTGTTGTTGTTGTTGTTGTTGAGGTTGTTGTTGTTAGTGTTGTCCATGTTGGGTTTTTTTGGTTGTTGTTGTTATTGGTGTCGTCGTTGTTGTTTTAATTGTTGTAGATTGCGAATGCACCCCCCCCCCTTTTTTTAATTTAAAAAACATAACACAGATAGTTTATAGATTAGGACTGCTCCGATCTTGCTTGTCAGGGCCAGCAGGGAGGATTGGAATCTTGTATCCGTCCAAGAAGACAGAAATACTTGAGGAAAAAAGATTGCCGCATGGAAGAATCAAACTCTTGATTTTTAAGTTAAGAGTCTGCTTGAGCCCTCTATTCGGACCTTACTTGACGTACTGTGCTCATCCTGAGTCTCCTCTCTCAGTTGGCTTGCATGTGGGTCACCGCACCGTGTTGTCATTCCAGAAGGACATTTTAATAAGATTTTGAGGCTTTCCAAAAATCTTGACCTACACCAAAAGTGTGCATTGCCCTACCTATAGGAGCAGTTTGGTTTCATTGGTGTGTATATTTGTTTGGATATAGAGAAAACTCTCATTGTCTTTTATACAGACTGAACAAGGGGCGAAAACTT